ATATATATATATATATATATATATATATATATATATATATTTCAAAAACATCGGTGAGGTGTAACTTTCTATGCTTATTTACCTAGATATTTTTACGCAATTAAATATTTCTCATGCTCGACGCTACGCACTGTTCGTTAACGTGCTCGTTAATTAAATGAATTTATCGATTGAGAAACAATGATACACACACGCACACACACACATATATATATATATATATAATGGTCTTCATATTTCATCAATTTATTTCATCCGTTCACCTCATCATATATAGGAGATTCAGCCTACGAGATTCAGCCTGTAAGGTGTTTTGAGGGATTTAAATACGTAATAAATAAATAATAGTTAATATTATATTAACAGTAACGTATTATTAACGTTGCCTAAGTGCTATATTATAGGCTATTTTCGTGAAATTTCAGCCTTGTCTTTACCCGCATTACGCGCGTCGGGTAAGCATTGTTAAAAAGGAGAGAGTCCCAAGTACCAAAAACCAACAGGAGACTAAGTACGAATACGTAGGTAATAAACGCTGAAACAGGTTTGATTATCTTTGACTAAATTTTCGGCGTATCGCCTGTGTTCGCCTGCGAAGGCCTGAGCTAAAGTTTGTTTACGACGAAGCACAACTCCACGGAGGTCGTGTTATGGAACGAACGTTACAGTGAGAGATAAGTGGATGTGTATTATCGACTGCAAGACAATATCAGATGGTAATACTCCGTCGGATATAGCCTCTACAAAAAATAATTGATCTAAAAAAAGATTGACGAAATTTTCGAACACAAGTTCCGCTAACACCCCGATTTAGTCCTCTCTTAGAAAGTACTCCGCTCCATTACAACATATTCCGAATATCCGAAGGTATACGTACAGAAAAATACTGTTTGGGTTAATGGCCAAAGATATTAAACGAGAAAAAATACAAAACGCAAACGAAACATGTGCACTAAGCTGCGATGAAGTTTTAACATTTATCATTCTAAAAGTTTTTCTGTTCGTTCTATTCGTTCGCATCGTGCCGCATATTGATTACGAATATTGATTATTCGGCTGATCAGTCATTTTGACAGCTTAACAGATATTATATCATATATCATGTTATATCCAGACACGATAGGAAACGATTATGGCTCGTATTAATAGTCGTTACTTGAAATTTATCTCAAATGAAATATTCAAATTTGAGTTTAGCGTCGAATATGGATCTTTCAGTTGAATCGCGATTACAAATGCGACATTTTCATCTCGACAAATTTTAGAATGTATTCAGTGCGAGAAGCAAAATTGAATTTATTAAGAGAAGTTTTTGCATTCAATACAAAAAAAAATTTATTTTTTGAGATTATTGAAAAACTTCTCTTATTAGATATAGGACGCGCTTTAAAATTCAATGAGATAAAAATATTGTAACTTTTCTTCCATTAATTATCACAAATATCATGCAATGTAATTGAAACACTTAAATATATTCCTAAATTCCCTTTTGATCCATATCTGAGAATTTCATAAGACAAACTTTAAATAAAGACTCTATAGTTTATATTAAAATAAAATATTTAGAGCTAGATGAAAGTTTTTCATTTGAATCACGATTGCAGATATAAATGTCGCATCGTGATTCGACTAAAAAACTTGGATTTAATTCTGAATAAAAATCTAAATGTCTTGTATAAGACAAATTTCAAGTGACAACTATCAATAGAGCTATTAATATTATTAATACATTATTCTTTTTTTAAAAACTTCTTTGAGTCAAATTTAAGAATAGGTAGAAAATTCTAAAAAATTTTATTTTTAGTTGGTTGTCAATATATGCGCCAGAGTTTCAAATAATTACTTTTTAATTAATTGCCGTTTAATTTAAATTTAATTAACGATTAATATGAGGCACTTCGATTGAAAGCTGTTTAATTGACAATTGATTTTAACAAATTTATTCGAAAACCATCCGATTGATTTAAACGAATCTAATTAAAAAATAAACGAAGATAATAAAGGTCATTCAATTAATAATTATATTTAAAAATCATTCAATTAATAATTAATTAATAATTAATTAAATTAAAGATCATTCGATTAAATTTATCAAATTTAATAAAAAGTTGTTTAACTGAGATGATTGAGCTTAATAAATTTAATTAAAGATAATTTGATTGACGATTGATTTGAGCAAACTCAACTGATTCAACCGAAGACCGTTCGATGACGATTGATGTAACCAGAGCTTCTCTCGACGGGGGTCCTACTAAGTGCTTCTCAATTATCGGCAACTTCCACGATACTATCCTCTCCCCGCTCCGGGTATGAATATTATCCACAAAACCAATTGTAACTTTGAGTAGCCTTGGATTGAATGAGTTAAATTTTCTTATATCGACCGTCAATTATGATCTATATTAAATTAATTAAATTTTCTAAATTCAATTGTTAATTGAACGCGATTTTTTATTCTCTTCACGCAGATCAATCGTTAATTATACGGTTTTTAATTAAATTCATCTCGAAATCAATCGTCAATAAAACATTTTTTGATTGATTTTATTTCAATGAATCGTCGATTAGTTGAAATGAAACATATTTGTTTAAATTAATCATTAAATTGAGAAAAATTAAATTGATACTCTTGCAACTCCGATATACGTCAGATTAGTGATGTGTTAATAGACAGATTTGAAAAGACTCTTGGAATGTCAGCCTGATAATCGCTGTAAGGCTTTATTGCAGCTTAATGCACGCGCTTACAACTAATTTCTCAACTTCGCGACGATCAGGTCTGATAACCCACTGGCTCGCGCCGATCGCGTTCGTCCTCCGCGGACTCGCCGACCTCCAACGACGTCTAGACGCGATGTAACGCGGAGAAGCGCGTAAACCGGTTTCGAAGAAGAGGGCCGTGCAAATTTGGCGGGTCCTCTCACCGGCACGGATATCGGGAGCACCGGTACCTCAGGGTTGACTCGCGGTCGAGTTAGACATCTCTATGAGTAGAAGCACGTCCTCGAGGACTTGTTCGTCGCGTTTGCGCTCTGCTCGGCGTTGCAGAAGCTCGCGGAGGCGGGCTTCTTGATCCGCGCGGAGAAGGGCCTGAGACGCATGAAGAGATAGGCCGACATGACGCAGGACGAAAGCAGAACGGCGAGTAGCACGATGAGGGTGATCGCGAATCCCGGAGTGGTCATGCAGATCATAGTTGAGCTGGCAGTGTTCTCCTGACGTTGCGGGAACACCATGGTCGGCCCGTTGAGCTCACCGTTGCTGGCGTTGTCGTCGATGGAGAAGGTGAAATCGCCCGTGGAGACCACTCGGATAATCCGGTTCACGCCGACGGCCTTCTGCGGGTTGTGCACGATCTCGCGGGACTTCCTCCTCCTCTCGTCGCGCGGCCGCCCGGCTGCCGCCTGCAGATAAGCCTCCAACGGCAGCGGGATCGGCGGTGGCAGGTCGAAGCCGAGCTCGGGATGCCCGTTCGTCGGCGAATGATGATGGTGGCTCTCCAGGAGACCCTGAGTGTCCAGGAACGGCGACGACTTGGAGCACTGCTCCGGGCACTGGTAGCGGCAGATCTGGATGGTGCACTGGAAATGCACCTCCATCGAGTCCGGGAACTTGAAGGCCTGGAAGTGCGCGTACGACAGCACCGACGCCGAGGCGCCGAAGTTCTTGATCTTCGTGAACTTCGACATCAGTTTCGGCCGGGTGATGCAGCCGCGGTGGTCCACCAGCTGTATCGGCGCCCGCTTGCCGTCGTGCGCCATGCAGTTCCTCACAAGCATGTCGAACTTGGAATCGTCATCCTTGATCGCGAGCACCATCGTCATCGTCTGACCGATCTTGACCAGGCCTGAGACCTCAGACGCCCATGGGCCCTTGCCGACCTGGATCTGCATCCAGCAGCCGACGTTATCGCCAGCAAAGTCCGCGCGCACCACGTCCAACATGTCCACGGGGAACGGCCGGAAGGTGACTGACTTCTCGTATAAGTCATGCCAGGTGCAGCGCAGCTTACGCGCCTGATCCCAGACCTCCTGCACCTGCGGGTCGTACTGCACCACGATGATATTCTCGAAGTACGTCCCCGAGCCGGACTCTGCGCCGTATCCGTACAGCTCGTTCTGCGTGTTGCCGGCGGTGCCGCACGCGTGTATGCTGATCTCGAAGTTAACGGACTTGCGGCCCAGCCCGGCCGGCAGGTGGACGCAGTTGACATTGCTGTAGTGGCCCTTGCTGAAGACGATGCCGTAGAACGGTTTGTCGAAGCCCAAGTAGACCTTCATCAGGCTCTTCTCGCACTTCACGTCCAGCGACACGATCTTAGGCATGTCGGGCGTCGGCGCCGGCCACGGCTCGATGCCGTCCGCGGTGCTGACGCCGCCACCGGTCGCGTAGATCTTATCCATGGCTTCCGGTGGCATCTTAGAAGGCGGTAACGGAGGCGGCGGCCCGTGATAGGCGACGTTATGGTGCGGACGCGGCAAGCTCAACGCGCCCCGACCCGGCGGTAACAGAGGGTGGCCTCGGAGGCCCGGCTTATAGTGATTCCCAGCCGCATCACCCTTGTCACCCAGACCGTCCAACTGGTCGGAATTGTTTAGCTCGTTGTCCTGGCGATTCAGCGCCGAATTCTCGTTCCGAGTGTCCTCCCCCGGAATCGCTTCCACGACCTCTACCTCTTCGGCATGAGCCAGCTGTAAGGACATGAATGATCGTTGGAAAACAGTTGCAACTCAATGACTCCGTGATGGAGTCTTTAACAGCGAGAAGAAATAGTTCGACGTTTTATGAGACAACGAGCCGTTTCTTCTCACTGTTAAAGACTCCGTCACGAATCATCGAGTTGTAAATATTTGTTAGTGTTTTTTCGTCGCCGCTTGCGCGCTTCGTTACGACGAATCGATTAGTTTCGCGTTTTTGAGAGAATGAGAAGAGTATTGTAAGTGATAAATGCAAGAAGAGAAGGTAAACAGCGATCAATTAATCTTTTTACTACGGTTGAGTTGAACATAGAACTCTGTTACTGTTATATGGACAATAGAACCATGAAAAGTGTATCTCATCGATTTTTATGGGTTTTAGATATATTATAAAACAGAAACGAAATTTATAAAGAATTTTCTTTAAGATCCAGATATCAATTCCGCTCGAATAAAGTGTTTTCTTTATAAAATGGTCTTGAAAGACGCTCTTGATGAAGAGTTTCATGGCTCGAATAAAATTAACCATTGAGCAGAACGATTTTCTGAAAGTACATAATTTATGTTTGCACATATGTATTCCAATTACAGAATTTAATAAATTTTATAACTATGATAATAAACATAAAAACGTCAACCTTGCACATACTTTAAGGTGGTATCGGAAGAATTGAGAAAAAAATTTGCTTACTTTTTTCGTGAAAATTTTTATACAATTTCAAACGTTAACGATTTTGCTCTGCTCATGATTACCATATTGTTTTCTTCAGCAAGAAAATCACTGTTCCATAGATTGGAACAAAAATATAGCTCTATCTACGATTGATCGATAGTATTATACCAACGAAATCATTATTTGACCAATATGAAAAATTTGGAGAAGATCCAAAATGGAAATGTAATTATATGCACTGAACTTTAAAGAGTCATAATAATATTAAATTTCCGGTCTACTTCCATTATTTATTTCAAGCACCAAAACCAGCATCTGGCTCTTATTAATATTGTTTTCCAATTTTAGATTTATTTCTAAAGTTAAATGTTTAATTTGGTTATAGAACAGCGAAAAATAAGAGATTCGTTTATTTCATTATGTGCATATCTGCACATTTAGGAGCTGAAGCAATCCCTGCCAAGATAAATATTTAATTTTCAATGAATATATAGTCGAAATTATAAGATATATAAGAAAATATTTTATATGAATATACCTTATAGTACTTTGTACTTTTATTTTTTGCTCAATTTTGCTCAATTTTGTCGCTTTCCTTACAAGCTTTAATAGAGCTTAATATTTGTTAGATCAAAATTTATTAGTCTTCTTAATTGCAACTATAATATTATATTATATGATATAAAATAATACGAATCAAGCTGTTAATTTGGTTTAGCCAAATAATCATTAAACAAATTATTAACTGATAATTAACCAAATAAAGATTAACCAAATATTCAATAGTCATAATTAAAAAGACTCATAATTAAAAGGTAGAACTTATTATAACCTGGAGCTTATAATGAGTTTTGATCTAGTAAAGTAAAAGGTTTATTGAAACTTAATGGATTAGCGCGTAACGGATAGCAGCAGCTCAATTGATGTTTATTTCTTCACATCATGTAATTCATTCTATGTGTTCAGTATAAAGTAATAGTTAACAAAGAAAGTCGTTACGATATCAAAGAATAGAAATGAATAAGTGCTTATCAACTACAAACTATCCATTAGTTCCCAAACAAGTTGTAGGGGAGAATCTTATTTTATAATGGTATTTCGTTCAAAAGGTTCCATTTAAAGGAAAATCATTATAGTGGCAGGTGAAATCATTGTAGTGAAGAAGTTAAAATATATAAACAGATGGTACAGTTGCTAATTAACTGTAGCAACACTTTTCTGCGATAAGTTTTGCAACACATTTTATACCCAACAGGAAAACGTATTTCTTAAGAATTATTAAAAGAACAAATTATCTTATTGGAATGCGTTGCTGAACGCAAACTCATCGAAGAAAATTGTTGCTATCTTTAATCAGCCGATTATGTGTGGCAATTTATTATATATATTCTCCCGAAGCTAATCACGTATTTCTAACACGCTGCACAGTAGGAACAAATAAAAATTTATTGTTCAAAAGTCGCTAGAGACCACAGTTTTATAGCAATCGGGATGAACTGTTTTTTTAAATAAACGTTAATCAATGTAGAAAAAAACTGTCGAGTCCGATTTTTTAAAAAATTCTTCTAAATGTTGCAATATTAATAAGAATTTGTAAAAAATTATCAAGTTTTATAAGCCACTCCAATTGAAAAACTTTTCATCTTTCCGCTGCACAGTATAATGTATTGAGGTTTTCAGCATCACTAATTACGAATCTGATGTAAAAATCAAAATTTGGCAGTTGATAACTGCTAATCTTCTGTCAGCATAAACAAAATCATTACGTTTTAATCATTAATTTCATCAAATCATTTGCCTGTAGCATCTTCACGTGTTCACAGTGCGCGCATCACCGCGACGCCGATGTGTTGTGTGTGTGTCGGCTTATATACTAATTTTTGCGCGCCGAAAAAAAAAAGAAGTACGCACAACGGTATCCGTTTCTCACGCGCTCAATGGGGAAACCTAAGTATGTCAAGCACGGCGGAATCGCGATGCGTCGAGAAACGCGGCGGGCTCGATTCCTCCGTTCGATTATCGCCGGACAAATGGAGCAGCCGTCGAAAGAGTTATTTCCGGTGGCGCGACAGCGAGCACGGGGGGCGCACAAAGGAGACGACGGGAGAAGAGGACGATGACGACGTCGAATCGCCGGCAGCGACAAACTCGTCCAGAATATTCGCGGGTCTGGCGGTCGATCTTCGATCGGGACGATCGCGCTGATCGCCGGAGGTGCCGGGGCGGGTAGGGATAGGGGGGAAACGGGGGCTCCATCGACGAAATAGGAGCACACCGAGCCGGTGTGTATAGAACTGTATAGTGGCTGATTGCGTCACGCATGACCTTAGGGCATAACGGACCACCCGTGTCTTTAGCCGCGGGTCAATCGGCCAGCTCCGCGCTTCGGATACGTGCGCGTTCGGCTCTCTTTCTCGCCCCTACCGCCCGGCCGTCGTCGTCGTCCACTTGTCCCGTCCGCATGGATTTTCGCAGTGTGCGCGCGTCCCATAATTTGACCGAGACCTACTACTGAGTCACTCGCCGCGCGGATCTCGGCGATCCACGATGAAGACGCAGCACCTGGCCCGTGGCACCGTGAATGGTGAACCGTGCCACGTTATGTCGCGCCGCATTACGTCAAACACGTTCGCACCGGACGCGGCCGACCGATGCCTGGTGGATGGATTAAACGTTATTAACGCGCATGAACGATGCGTCTGGAGTCTCTTATTACGATAATCAACGTCGAGATATCGTCATAACTCGTCGTCGTAGGCGCATACGCGGGCAGCGACTGATCGATTCTAATGAGGGTTGTCCCATGAGTTCGTGTCGTTTTCCTTCCCTATCTATATTTACAGAATCGTTGCGGGTATCTATATTTTACGGTATTTTCTATTTTACTGTGTATTTCGTCATGAACGTTGCAGGAAAACGTATCGAATATTGAGAAGAGGTGAACTACGATGGCGAATAGGAAATTGGAGTTAGATGGCACATTATTCAGAATTTCGAAATTACTTCTACTTCTACTTCTGAAACTTCTAATTGTTATAATTGACTATACAAACATAATACAGACAACCTTCCTCTGTGTTTTTATGCGTGCAACGTGATTCTGCAAATCGTAATTTTCTTCTGCAATAACTGAAATACGATCATGTGGCAACGTGGCTTTCTTGCTCTGATACCGGGCCAAATTGGCTAGCAATTTAAGGTAATAAAGGCCGCATATAAAATAAATATCCTGATTAATCCGAGGTCTCCGTAAGAGGTCTCTGCAGTTCTGTTGTTCTTTATATAGTGGCCAACTTTTACCTCGTCCATATACTCAATTTCAATCATTTTATGAATAAAAATTTATCTTATTACTCGAAATAGTGTATCATATTCTTGTAAGAGACTTTATTCTAATATAACACATCACATTTTTAAGTTTACTGGTTCACGATGGAAGAATGTCAATACCAAATTTCAAGATATATTTGAAAATATATTTGACTGTTCAAGATATATCGAAAATATATTTGACTGTTCGTAACCAGTTTTTTCTATTTTTCAATATGCAGCATTATTCTAAATTTAATGAAACTCAAGAAAAAATATTAATGTTCTATGATTTCGTTTATACTGTTTCTCTCACAATAAATATACAAACCAAATATTTAGCTAACAAACCTCTTACGTTAACTAAACTGGTCTCCTCTACATTATTGATTAATTTTCTCGGTTTTTGTGGAAAAAATAAGAATTTTTTAAATATTAAAAACGAATTTATTGGATAAACAAAATTTTTAATTCACATAAAATTCCTATTTTGCAATAATTTGTATTTCCACTTCTGCCATGCTCTATTACATACACAAAATACTAGTGTATTGAGTCTTAAAACGGTTTGAATACATTTTCCTCCTCGTGTATTTTGGAAACCTGTCAGTGATCCAATAGGAGAATTTGCTTTTGATTAATTTCCAAAAGTTATGTTCTCTTATTGAACCATAGGCATTGGTCTTAAACAGCATCGGAAAAATGTGCTTAAACCGTTTTAAAATTCAGTGTATACAGTTCAGTATAAAAGAAATATTACAAAACTAAAAAAGAGCACAAAGAATAAAGAGATCCTAACAATTAATATAGCTACTATTATGAAAGATATGCAAATACAAGGAAAAGAAATATGGAGAATCCTGTATCACTTACAAACAATTGTACTTATTTCGACGTAGCGGATATATTCGTAATCCGTTAACTCGCATAATTTCGTTTAACAGAAAAAGCGAGAGAAAGAAAGAGAGAAAGAGAAGCATTGTTTATTTAGCGTTCTGGGAAGATTCCCCTCAAGCGCATAAATTCAGTACATAAGAAGATGTATATATAGAACTGAGCTCATAAAATTACTGTTCATTGTAATTGTAAATTGTATATACAAACATGATATAGAAATGCAGGTTTATGCTAATCGTGAGAGCGGATATCCGATACACGATTAATTGCTTATGTAAGGGTGTCAAATATTCTGACAAGTGCGTAACAGAAGGATCTGATAAGACAAGTAACTAACAATGCGCTGAGGTCAAAAATACGAGAAAGAGAGAGACTCAGAGGGAGAGACCGAGAAAAAAGAAAGAAAGAGAGAGAGATGGGAGGGGGGGAAAGAAGACAGTACATCGTCGACGAAGGAGGAATGCACCGTTTCCCCGCGGTAACGCGGTAACGACGGTTCATTCATCCCGCTCTATCTCGCGCGGCTCTTATAAGGCTAACGATAATCGTCGTGCGAGACATCGAGCGCGAAATAAAGAAGAAGACGACGACGACGAAGAAGAGGAGGACGACGACGACGACGACGACGCGGACGCATCGAAAATCGTGTCGGGCCACAGGAATGCAGGACGGAAAGGGTACACCGACAATCGCGCGCGAAGAAACCGGTCGTTCCGCGCGCGGGATTTTTGCGCACCACCTTGTAAGAGGAGAGCGGCCCCGACGACGGCGGCGACGGCGATGGCGCGATGAAACGTTACTCGGTAACAGTAGACGGCGGACGAGCCGGATTGCCGGTCGCGCGCCCGAGCCGAGCGCGCACCATTTCGAGACATCGCCGGGGCCGGGCGGCTCAGGAGTCGCCCTTAGCTCTGGGTCAGAGCACTGGGTAACGGCATTGCCGGGCCGCGTTGCCCACCGTGATATCTGGGTTATAATGTAGTAATTACCTACGCAGACGCGCCGACCTATCCCCCGCGCCCGAGAGATCCCCCACGTGTTCACCGTCTCGGACGAGATCTCGGCCCGATCGTCGGGCTACCCTACGTCGTGCGCACACGCGTGTACACACTGCAACCGCGAGAGTCTCGTTGGTCTTTCTTTCGTTCTCTGAGAACGAGCGATCGGCGCTTCGCACGGACGCCGTTACCGCGATCGATCGATTGATCGATCGGCCGGCGGGCAGGCGGATGAACGAACGGCGCGGTTCTCCGTTGGCTCCTTAGCGCGCACCTTGAAAGGCGCACCGTCTTGATTCGGAATTGACGTCAGAGGAGCGAGAAAATACACGCTACGAATTCTCGCGAGATATGTTGATGTAAAAAGTATCTGTAAGATAACACTTGCAATTGATCGGGCAGATGTGTAAAATAATCTGAATCGCATAGATAACTGTAAAATTACGCGTTAACTGTAACGTGACAAAATCATGAGGAAATGTAAGTTAAAAAAGTAGGTTGCGTCTCACATTAATTTTACGGCAACTTATTGATTGTACAAAACGAAAGCATTTAGACTATCTTACAAATGTGTCTAACCAATTACAAGTATCATTTCATGTATATATCTTTTTACTTCAAAATATTTTGCAAGAATTTTTATCGTGTATTTTCTCACCTCTGACCTCAACAACCGAGAATTCCACGACGAGGAGCCAGGAGCTTTAAGGAGATCGTAAGGCAAAAGGAGAATTGTTAAGAATTCATTAAAACTTGCACTTCATATATAAATCGACATCGTCGATTAGTTTAACTACTCTCTCTCTCTCTCTCTCCCCTCCCTCTCCTTCTCTCCTCTCTTTCTCTCTCTGCACTTAGAAAAAGGAATCATTCGAAAATTAAGATATTTAAAACTAAAATTGACACTTTTTATACGAGTTCCTTAGGGTACTCGTGCTATTTTTAATTTCTGTTAAAGTAAAATTAGAATGTTAATGAGAAACTACTATGTTATTAAATATATAATATATCGACATATTCAAAATTATTGATCGTTTTGTTTGGAAAATACAGCGGTAGAAAGCTCATAATTTACAATAATCTTCAAGACACTTAAACATATATATATATTTAAACATTTATATACTTTTTTCTATTATCTGTGCATCTCTATTATGCATTCTTTATTGGATCTCTATTAGATCAATTGATCGCATATAAAGCATTAATACGAAAAATAAAAATTAATATTTTTCATATTTGTAATATTGTGTGTACATACATATATTTATACATACATATGTCTATCTCAACTTTATTTAAACTTTATCTCAACTATATTAAAAGTTTTTCCCATCCATCACGTAAAAATTATTTATATCTTCCAATAAACGCAAAACCGTTAAGGAATGGGAACCAAACAGTTTACAGACAAGTATTTAACAACAAATACTTCGATGTACTATGAGAAACTCAACAAATCTCTAAGGAAAAACTGGAGATGATACGTGCAGATATACAAAATTCAAGATAAAAGATCTCAACTTTATTTAAAATTAATATCGATTATTTATATAATGGAATAAAAATGTATAGAAACGTAATTTTGTGCGATAGTAAATTTATGAGTAGTCTCTTTGAAGCGCCACTGCAAATATGACACTGTGAACCTTATAACCTCCTTAACACATTGACTGCCATGGAATCACCGGTGATGGGATCACTGTGATATGGCGACGTCTTATTAATTTGCATATAAAAGCAATTGTATATGATTAATTAAATATAGTTAATGGGGAGAGCTGATAAATGAGGTAACGATACATCATAAATTGTGAGGAGCGTACATAATTTTTTTTTTCGGTATAAGTAGTCGGTAATATTATTTTAAAGCTATCCATGAAAAAAATATGTTATAAATTTCAAAAAAGTTCAACTTGATGTGTTAAGACTATTGTGCCGATTTTGCATGAGCTGTATAACTTTTATACCAAACAAATATTTGCACAAACTGAGGACCAGAAACACCAATTTTAACATTTTTATATGAATATTCATATTTTGAATATTGATACAAAATTTAATTTCTTGTCTTTCAAATCTTGTTTCATATCTTGCTGGGAATTGCTCCAATTTATTTTTACGCGTATTTTTATTATGCAAAACTTTATGATCCTATAATAAAACAAATAAATCGCTGTTTTTAGTAAAGTTTTCAACTTTAACACTTCCTTAAGTTTTTAAACAATAAATTGGCATCAATGCGCAGTCGATATATATATATAGTAGTTTTTACATCTTGTAAAATAATAAAATAAATGTACCAATATTTGGACATATATTTAATCCTGGGCAATCTTATTATTTTAGTCTTAAAATATAAATATTTAAACTTTCAACATTAAATATATATACAAATATTGAGTGCATACATATATTCTATGTTAGAAATTTAAATATTCGTATTTAAAGACCAAAAGAATAAGAATGTCCAGGATTAAGAATGTGCCCGGGCATTGCTACTTTTGCCTTAACGAGAATAATGAGAAGAAATCGACGGGAAAAATTTTTCAAAAAAATTTTTAAGAGAAAGAAAGAGAGAGATAAAAATATACACTCACCCCCTTTAATAGGAGACAGGCTAAGACGTAAATGCGTAACTGCATACCGCGTTGGCGTCCACGATGAAACCCTACTCGTATCACTGAAAAAAGATTCGATCATATTAAAACATTTCGTAAATTAACTATGCGTTGCTTAAGTACACTCAGTTATTATATAGTTTATAAACATTTCTTCCATTAGTTGCAGCGCTCCTGTTTGTAATAATTGAGGGACATTGTTGACGTGTTTGCGCAATAATCGATTATGACAGAAGTCGAAATGACAATCCACGAGACATCCAACGTCATAAATGCAACGGAAGATGCAGGAAAAACGTAAATATCTTTATTATATTTTTATTTATCAGGTAAAAGTACAATAAAAAATCCATACTTATATCTCGTATATCGTCATTTTGACCCCTGACATAATACCACAACAGTATCTCTTAATTGTAACAACCAGAAACGTTGCAACTTTACTCGGGAAAATATATGTAAACCATATAATAACCGAGTGTACAACCCAAATGAATTCTGTAGCGCCAATTCCACGCACTTATTACGCGCTAAACAAATTTTCACGCGCGTTTCCTCGTTCCAATAGATCTTTCATTGAGAAAGATAAAGTATTGTGAGAAAAACTATCTAAAGGATAATTGATAATTGATAAGGATGTAGGATGTAAGTCTAACTGAGGTAACACGCGGCATCTTGACAATAACATCAATATAAGAAGACGAGAAAGAGTGTGTTGGAGCGGGAGCCTGGGTAGCTCAGTGGTTTAGAGCAGTCGAAAGACTCAGGTTCGAGTCCCGGCCCAGCAAAAGCTCCGGCTTCCGATATACTTTTCTCTCCGACTCTTACAAAAGAACAAAAATATTGACTCTTTCGGTAGGTATTAATAACATATTTACTTAAATATATTAAAAGATCTATCTTTTTTATATTAATTCTATATTAAAAAATCTATTTTTTGTTAAAATATAATAAACAAATTCTTTCATAAAAAACAAAAGCTTTAGGAACATATATACAGAAAGAGAATATTATATCTTTAATATTACACCTTTTTTTCATATAAATTTTTATATAAATTTTTTTCAATTTTTTAATTTTTCTAGTAGTGCAAAAATAAACTATCAATAAGATCTATCTTGCTAAGGAATGTAGTAAATTTTGCTAGGAATATAGTAAATTTTTAATGGCACATTTCAGTTTCTAAAATATAAAAAGTAGCACATATGAAAGAATAATCAATTATTACAGTCATTATTATGTCGATCTATTCCTCGGTTACAAAATCCTAGTAATTTTTCGTATAACATCCTCTCCGTGTATATTTTCTCATTAAAAAAAATTTCTCGATATAGAAACATGTATACATAGAACATACAATTTGTATATAAAAATATGTACAGGTGCATATGTAAATATGTCATTAGTAGCCATCCAGTAAATAATAATAATTTTTATTACTTAGATATTTTGTTTCTAAGATGTTTTCTTAGTTTACGTGATATCTGAAATACAAGAACAAACTCACAGCAAAATATATACTGCGTTCAAATAATTGTTATTTGATTCAAGTATTTCATAAGTTTATATAAAGTAAGTCAATAACTATTGTCATCCCCCCCCCCCCCCCC